ATAGAACTTTATGCGTGAAGACGGTCAAAAGATATAAAAATAACTTATCAATTCGCAACCAGTTGAGTTCTTTGATTTTATCTGAGACGCGACTAAACTTGCGCAATCCAAAAATAAACCTACAACAGCTGTTCTGAATTTTCTGGAGTTTCCTTTTGTGGACGTAGTCTAAACATGGGTAATACAGAACAAGAGAGTAAGAAATGACAGACAACACAAGACTTTCAGCAAGCTTTTTTCGGGTTTTAAAATTTAAGATGTATCGATTAGCATAGAGGAGTTTCAAACGCAAATACGTTACTCTAGATAAGAAAGAGACATGCCGATCGAATCTCATATTTAAGTCAAGGATAACACCGAGATTCTTGGCGTAATCCACAAAAGGGATGAGTGTCTCATCCAAAAAGACACAAATCCTTTGCTTCATTTCACGGTAGGAGTTCTTCGAACAGTACAACATTGCAGTAGTTTTATTAGGATTGATCTTCAAGCAGTGTTTGTTACAGTAATCACCGATGTTAGCCAAATCTAAATTAACTTTAAAAGAAACTTCATCAACCTTTGATGGATCGAAACCAAACACTAACTGAGTATCATCTGCATAACTTTGCATACTACAGTGGACTAAACAGTCTTGCAGATCGATCGTATAAATCAGATATAGTAAGAGACCTAATACTGAGCCCTGAGGAACTCCTGAAGGAACTGGCTCAGAGCAGGAAATTCCCTGATCAGTTTTCACTGTTTGTTGACGATTTAGTAAGTATGACTCAAAGAACCTTAGAACTATATCTGACATTCCATAATGAGATAACTTACTCAGTAGTATCTGGTGATTCACCATATCAAAGGCTTTCGAGAAATCTAACAGTACCAAGACGGTGTTGATGTGATTATCTAAATTGTGAACGATGGAATCAGTAAGATGTAATAAAGACGAAGTAGTGCTGTAACCAGCTCTGAAACCTGACTGATGTAGAGGAAATGAGTGGTTTTGTTCGAAAAACTCCACTAGTTGTGAGTAGACAGCTCTTTCGAGTTTTTTTGATAGAAAGCATAATAAGGTAATTGGCCTGAGATCCGAATATTGCTCTGGATGATTAGTTTTAGCTATTGGAATAATAATACCATTTTTCCAACTGGCAGGAAAGTAACCTGTTTCGAGACAGACATTATTAATGTGAATTATATGGTCTATGGTATCAGGCAAACATAAGCAAACCATATTTAAAGTTAGACCATCAGAGCCACATGCCGTAGACTTAATGTGAGAGATTATATTGACGATGTCTTGCTGAGTAAGGAGTTTAAAAGCAAACAGAGGTGCATCCGGTGTATGACGTCTATCGCTATAAGAGTTAGAGACACTATCAATCAAATTTGTATCAGCTGCAGCTGCCTGGAAAATTGAAAGGAAATAATTATTTAAAATATTAGGCTCAAGGAGACTGGGAGGTATCGCAACATGTTTCTGGGCTATATATATTTCTCAAATCTTTGTAGCTGGCCCAATTCTGATCAGATCTGTTATGCTGATAGACAGCGAATGCCTCATCTCTGAGTTGAAAAATCATTTTCAAGTTAGGAGTGAGCCAGGGCCCAGCAGGTTTTGTGACACGTACTGTACGTAGCGGAGCGTAGAGATCGAATATATAAAGAAGACGGCCAGTAAAAATAGAGACTTTAATATCCACATCATTCACGAAATAAATGTCATTAAGCTGCATTGATGCAATCTGCGTCTTAAAACTTTGAATATCAATGCTATTAAGATTTCTATATGTCACAAATTTAGGCTGTATTTTTTTATAACAAACGGAAATATCACAGTACGTGAGCCGATGATCACTAATTGAGTCTGCATTGAGTGTCCCTGACCTTTTGACGATAGTATTGTCACTAACAAATATTGGATCAAGTAATGTGGAACTGAAGGCTGTAACACGTGTAGGCTCATCAATGACTTGAATGAAATTGAATGAATCAAAGCAGCTGCTGAGGATGTTATGAGCAAGCAAGTCGACATTCATATCGCCCAAGAATATAATGTTGTCATATTGGGGAGTGAAAAATGAGACAAGATTTTCTAAACACTGGATGGCTTGATGTATACAGCAATGTGGTGGCCTATATATAACAACAATTAACATACTGGACCCGTGCAGTTTAAATTTATAGCATAACATTTCAAGAGGATTTATAAAGTCATCGAGCTCCACTGGGACAAGATTAGTGCTAATATCTAATTTAACATAGAGACCGATGCCACCCCCTCTGCTCCCACGGTCCTTACGGAAGAAATTATACCCAAGTATATTGACTACAGTGCTGTCAATACTGGAATGCAGCTATGTTTCAGTGACTGCTACAACATCAAACTTATATTGAACAAGAGAGGCAAAATCATTAAAGTGAGCTGTTAGAGAACGCACATTTAAGTGACATAGTTTCAAGACACTTTTTATAGTGTTAGCCATAATCCACCCTTTCTTTTAGAGTTTGAACATAATTGAGAAACACAGGACAGTTTGGAAAATTAGCCGAATGATCAACTGGTAGAATCTTCTTGTATACCTTGTTATGGTTCAGGCAATTTACGCATTGTAGGGCGCTCGAGTTACACTCCTTGATTTTATGATTTCGCGTACACCTTGGGCAGGACAGATCAGCTTTACAAGATGCTTCAGAATGACCAAACGAACAGCACTTGAAACACTTTAATATGCGAAAGTGATCAGAGATAGGTGACTTTTTCCAACCAATATATAAAAATCCTGTCTTTAATAATTCCGAACTTAGTGTAGGAGTGACTTCAATTACGATGTTGATTCCGCGGGAGGATTTGATATTTATTATGGATATTCATTCATATTCGTCAGTACTTCATTTGAAGCTTCCATTATTCATAAGATCTTAGCAAAATGTAAAATAGTAAAAGCAACACCGCACCCCGAAGCCCAGTTAACAAGAACGACAAGCTGTCAAGATTAGGGATGTTTCGATCCGCAAAAAGTATCGACATGTATCGATTTTTATCGTTCTAGGAAATATCGATACTCTAAATCTAAAATATGGGAATAAAACTATCGATATCCAGCTGAAGTCAATAAGCAAAGTAATCTGAAGTTAGTCACTCTTTCTGACACAGTCCGGATCGAATGATGACGATACTCGTAAAATGTATCGGTTCAACCAAGTGTCGCTTATAAAAATATCAATCCAAAATATCGGGTATGGAAAGCAAAAGTATCGATACTCCTAAATATAGGATCGTATCGGACTGTCAAGATGTATAACCCGAGGTACCGACGGAGCTATTCGGGGCATCATGGGAATAATTTGAAATTTTCATTTGCATTTTTTCAAGTGTTATGCAACAATTTTGGGAAAAATTTCACGTATAGTCTTATGAAGCGTAGAAGAGTATATTTCAACAGTTGGCGGAGCTTACTCAACTAGGACCAATCCTCAACGGATCCCACTCATGTGTCACTTGTTGGAGAGTTTTGAAATAAAATAATCAGCTGTTATTCGAATAATCTCTAATATAAATATAACCTAGAATGTGTACTCCCTGAAATATAACAGTTATTGGACATTCTAGTTTTTTTGCAGGTTTTAGGTATGCCGGTAGCTTAACGACATATGAGGAGGTGATCTGCAAACCGCAGTTTTTGAAAAATTGGCAAATCTGGGTTAGACATGTGATCGTATATTTTCAATGGTCCTCTACCCGATAAACTAATTAAAAACGTCAAACTGCAGTTTTTCCCTTTGTAATAGCTAGTGAATTATTGTGGTGTTCTACAAAGCGCAGTATTTTGTTTCAACTAGGAATAACAAAACGCAATTTATTACTCCATGCTTGGAAAATCATAGCGCAACTTGTAACGCTTCCTTTCCGCAAAAAGTCCAGAAAAGATGGAATGCAATGAAGATTCCAACTTTTCTGCACAATCACAGAAAGGGGGTTACCATTAGCTTCCGGTAGCTCAGTCGGTGGCATGAAGACATCTACAGGCGTGTAGCTGTGTGTCGACCATGGCATGACTAGAGGATAGAAGAACACACAGAACACAAAAATTTAACAGATTTTATTTAACAAAAAAAAAGGCATTTTCATTACATTACAATTTTACAAAAATAACAAAATAAGTTTTACATCTTTGGCGCTGCTATAACGCTATCGACTTATCTTTCGCTGGTCCATCTTTACTCGACTGAAGCCAGGATGGCCAGGGGCTTGAAGGGAAGGTCCCAGTTATGAGGGGTGACCTCCATATAGTGGCTTCACAACCAGTTGTAGGCGAAGTTAAAGGCGATGGCGCTGCCAAGGTACATGCATGGGTGAAAATATTGGCCAAGGCTAGGCAAAGTGAAAGGGAAAGAGAAAGGGGGTGGCCCCAATCATTCTTGTCCTATACGGACACACATTCTAGAAAATTCTAGCACATGGTGCTATATAACCTTGTGCTACTGAGAAGAAATTTCTAGCCGTTGTTCGATCGGCGGCTCAGGTGAAAAAGAAGCGCGAGGAAGATCGCAGATCAGGAACTCCGCATCAAGCGCTCCAAGCGGAAAATTTTCCAAGCAAAAAAGCTAGAGATGGGATTAATGAAATGATAATCGAGAAGTGATTTAATAAATACGATCGGACGGTGAAACCGTTACAAACTTTTCAAATCTTAACTTGCTGATCAAACTTACACATGCACGACAAAACGCAGTATTTCTTTGAATAAGTGGGGGGATATTCAGACCGGCTGTGAATAGTTCAGTTGTTTACCGGCAGTTACGAAGTGTGCGTGTTATACTTTTGCGATCTGTTGCTGCTAAATTACGCAATATTTCGAAATTAAAGATGGATGATAGTAGTCTAGTGCTAGTTAGTGACGAAAAAGAAAACGAACTATGTCTAAACGAGAAAGGGCAAAAAAATGCGGTAAGTTTGAATATAAAAGCAAGTGAGCGGAGTTGTTTTATATTTTTTATTGTTTTAGATACATGAATCATATGCCTAATGCTGAAGATTTTGAAGTGAAGTGCAAGCATTTAAAAACTGCACTCCAGTGTCATGAAGTTTCTACAGAGGATGTAAAACGTGTTAGAGAGTTTGTGTATAGACAACCAGTAAAAACGATAATAGATAATAAAATAGCCCACTTGATTGAAGTTAAGCATCCTAAAACGAAAAAAAGTGAAGAAACATTGACAAATAAAGGCCAAGCAATTAGGCTGGATTATTTTTTAAGAAATATTAACTCTGAGAAGCTGTTAGTGTGTCAAAAGACGTTTTTGACTGCTTTGAAGATCTCACAACGGAATATCCTTACTATCGGAAAAAAGAAGGCAGAAGGGCAGATAATTGCGAGAAGGGGAGGTGATCGGAGAAGCAAAAAATACGAGCAGCAGAAAAACAGTGTTAAAAAATTCATTGGGAATTTACATGCAAGTGAAAGTCATTATTATTATTATTATTATTATTATTACAATCGTAAGAAATCGAAGAGACTTTATCTTTCATCTGACTTGAATATTGCGAAACTATCAAAACTTTATAATAACTCTATAGAGCTGAATTTAAAAGTCTCGCGCCGTTATTTTTATAATATTTTTGTACGCTATTTCAATCTCGGCTTTGGGAATCCCGCAAAAGATGTATGTAGTCTATGTACCCGTCTGAAAAATGCAATTAGATCCACAAAGAATGCAGCTATGAAAGGAAAATCTATTACTGAGCTGAGAATTCATAAATTGAGAGCTAAACAGTTCCACCTTTTTTTGAAAGCAATTCCGGAGAACAGCTTCACAGTATGCTTTGACTTGCAGCAAGTCCAAGCGTTGCCTAAAATGAACATAGGGGAAGCATTTTATTTACGTCAACTTGCTCTATACAACTTTTGCATAACAGAACCTAGTACAAGACATCCTTACTTTTATACTTGGACAGAGAATCAAGCGAAAAGGGGACCGAATGAGATAGGATCAGCCATATATACCATTTCTTGACAAATCGCGAGTTTCCAGAGAGTTGTAAATTAGTTAGACTATTCGCCGATGGATGCGGAGGACAAAATAAAAATTCTTTTATCATCCACATGTTGGTGTTTCGGCTTTCCACTAAGGCACCTAAACATATTGAAGAGGTGGTCCTGTATTTTCCGGTGAGAGGTCATTCTTATCTAACATACCTGCAGACAGAGTATTCGGTCGGATAGAGAAGATCTGCAGAAAGCGGTCTGAAATTACCACTAAGGAAGAATACTGGAATATCTTTGGAGAAGTTGGGAATGTTAAAGTGATGGGACAAGATTGGGACTTGTTGGATTGGAACGATTTTTCTAGTACAAAATTCAAGAAAATCAGTGGTATGCAAGAAGTAAAGCGAGTTCATTTGAAAAGGGTTCGTGAAAAGTGTTTGACAAAATTAGAAGTCTTCTGCAGAACAGACGATAAAAAGTATCAGAACTACTTGAAACGAGGTGCGAAATTAGAAATTTACCAACCTAAGCAAATTGAACTGCGCAATAGCATTAAAAAAATTAAGCCTGAAAACGTTGAAACCCTATTAAAAAACTATCAAGAAGACTGGGAAGATAATGAAACCTTCGCTTGGTACAAGAACCTACTAAATGAAAGAAGACATCCAACAGGAGGCGAGGAAGAAACATGCCCGGAATCCGACGATGTAGATCAAGAGCACTCCTAGTCAGTGTGGTATTTTAGTGGTATGAGTCCGTTTCCATTAACGCATAAGACCCATAAGGCCGGTCTTCGGCCTAGTATAACTTTGACTAGAAAAGGAAAATCCCAGTTTTTTTCATGGATATAAAATAACTAAGCGGTTTTGAACATAAACAGCACTCATAGGGACTTCCTCCTGGCCATTGTGAATGTCAGTTCAAGGACAATTTCGGGTGAAATTTAGAACATTGATAATCATTGATTTGAAACTGACTTCTCAAAGTAGTCGAAAATGTTAGTCTTTATTGTTAAACATAGTTTAATGCTGTATTAGTGTAGGACCTAGTATAAGGATTCAATAGCTATTACTCGTGACTTCATTCTCATAATATTGTTAAAGTAAACAAAAATTAAAATTACCATACATGAAACCAAATTTTACATTGTAAAGGCTTGCGCCTAATCTCTAGTTAGAAAAGGTATAAGTTTGTGACATTCTTTGAACCCCTTTTCATCTATGTCACAAGACACATTCTTAGCTCAAGTCCACTCTCAACAACCATGTTGTTACCAATTATCTAGCAAGAAGAATTTTAAGCAATTTCGCCAATATTTTTGAAACCCCTTAATAGGGCTCTTGTCGCAAAATACGTTCTTAACAAACATTTACTGCTCATAATCTACCCTCCTGCAAAATTTCATGTTCATAGGTCAAATAGATCTCAAAATTTTTTAACTAATGTGTCCCCCTAATCCAGCTTTGACGTAAGATTAATCTCAGCTTATCTTTCCTGTCAATAAACTTCTCTGAATTTCATAACCAAAAGCAAACTGTTTTCGAAATTTCGTGAAAAACAAGCACTTTTTGGGTCTTAATTGTTTTTTCTTAAACCTTATCTCCATCCGGGACGGAAATATGTTTATATTAACTCAACAATATCTGATTACTATGTTTCTACTAGTGGAGTATCACAGGGGTCTAATTTGGTTCCTTATTTTTGTTATATACTCAGTGACACTGGAAGTATTTTACCCAGAAAAAGAAGAAACTCTTCAACTTGATTGGCAATGGGATAGTCTTACAGCAAGTATGAAACGATAATATTCTCAAGAGATTTTATTGACATAATTAAATTGACAATGTATTGGGCCACCTCGCAGCTGAATACACTCCTGTATACGTCTAAGCAACGACAAAATAAGATGATCCATCACTGGTTGTGGCACCTCATTCCAAGCAACTCGGACATTGTGAATTAGCTGTGGCGTATGGTGCAAAGTTGACAGTCTCCTCTACATCATATCCCATGTTCAATGGGATTTAAATCCGGTGAACCGGGTGGCCACGCAAAACATGAACACCAGCTTCTTGCAGAACGTCCATAGTATGACGATGGGGACGTGTGGACGGCCGTCTAGATACGACAGTAAAGTGGTTTGTAGCATATCATCAACGTAGCGCGCAACAGTCATATTGCCTTGAACAAAGGGAAGCGGTGATCAGCTACCACAGGCAATAGCCGCCCAACCCATTACTCCAAGAATCCTGTGCACATGCATCTCAGCAGCAAATCCAATATCACGCCGTTCTCCACAGCAGCGTCTTACCCTTCTACGACCATGGTGCACCGTATTCTACATGACTGGTGTTTTAGAACTCATCTCCATTCAAATAAATTCAAATGTAGGATAGTAACATTCAGCCGTCGTTCCACCATACTATACTAAGTGACATATAAATCCGAACACCCAGTTTAAATGGTTTTATTTTAATAAAAGTTGGTGAATGTATTTATCTTACTGTAAATAACAAGTGAAAAAATGTTCAGCCTTATCAGTTGGACATTCCGGTTTTTATACTGCTTTTTTTTAATTCACTAACGCTCTAAAAATGAATATTTCAGCCGCAGTAAAGAATCAACGTTGGCGGATTTTGGTTCTTGACATCCTTTACGATCGGCTACGATGCCTAGAGTACGGAGACCTGTACGATTTCGTCAACTTAGTGAGTTTGATAGGGGCCGTATAGTGGGACTTCGGGAAGCTGGACTTTCTTTTCGGGCAATTGCAGTTATAGTGCAAAGAAGTGTAGACACTGTGGTTAGGTGTTGTCAGGCATGGCTTCGAGAAGGCCGTACGCAAAGAGCAAGGGGCACTGGATGCCGCCGTAGAACAACAGACCGTGAAGATCGCCGCCTAAGATTATTGGCCTTAAGGGACCGTTTCTCCACTACCAGGTCCATTGCAAATGAATGGTTTGCAGAACACGGAAGACCTATTGGCATGCGAAGTGTTTACCGACGAATGAGAAGTTTTGGCTTGTTTTCATACCGGTCACACTGGGTCCTCCTTTAACTCGAGAACACCGACGTAATCGCCTTGAGTGGTGCAGACAACGGTCACTCTGGGATCAGGAATGGAACAGTATGGTCTTTAGTGACGAGTCTCGATTTTGTTTAGGCATGCACGACGATCGTGCCAGGGTTAGAAGGCGACGTGGTGAAAGGAGGAATCCAAAGTTTTTTGTTGAAAGACATGTTCATCACACTGTTGGAGTTATGGTTTGGGGTGCTATAGCTCATGGTTCCAGGTCACCTTTAATCTTTATCAGAGGTAACATGAACGCGCAGCGTTATATCCACGAAGTTCTAGAACCCCATCTTTTACACTATCTTGATACCCTGGCATATCCAACTTTCACACAATAGACTTCTTTCAACATAATGATGTCACATTGTTACCATGGCCACCAAGATCTCCCGACTTATCCACAATTGAGCACGTGTGGTATATGATGGGTAGGAGATTGCTCAATTTGCAACGTCCTCCTCAGAGTCTAGAAGCAATTCGAGAGGAGTTGGTGGTTGCCTGGAATGAGATACCACAAGAGGAAATTGACCACCTGATCAGAAGCATGCCTAGGCGCGTTGGAGAATGCGTAGCACATCAGGGTGCATCCACACATTATTAAAGGACAAAGGGCTTTAAAGCAGTGCAATCATTTTGAAATTTACTTATTATGCTTCATTAAGTACTTATACAAAGTTTTATTAAAATAAGACCATTTAAACTGGGTGTTCGGATTTATATGTCACTTAGTATATATTCCTGTACAACTAATGGTAGATACGTTGGAAGAACTCAATCAGAAATCTAGGCGTTTGCTTTGACAGTAATTTAACGTTCATTTCGCCTATTCATCAAATTGTTGTGAGTGCTTTTCGGTCATATGGTTTTATCATAAGGAACTGTAAGCATTTTACTTATCCGTCGGCACTAGCTTTTCCTGTATTCTACTCTAGTCATACCCAAATTGGATTTCGGTACACTAGTATGGAATCCAACTAACAATGTTTAAATAACAGCTATCGAAAAAGTTGAAAAAAACTCTTACTTATCTGTCAAGCTTGACGGGGTTTATTTACAAAAAGGCATTCTGTGAACCGATTTAATTTTAGAGAGCCGCATAAGTCGGGCATCTGTTTTGTTTTTGCACAAATCACTAAATGGCAAAATTGACTAGATCGACCTGTTATCCCAGCTAAATATCTCTGTAACGAGACTTAGTGCTAGACGACGCGTTCCTATCTAAAAGAGCTCAAACAAATCTGTTAATGAAAGCTCCTATTAATCAAATGTGTGCAAGCGCCAACAAGCTGTCTAACATTTGCGGCATTTTGTGTTGTAGCGTTTCAGAGTTGAGAACTCAGTACCGTATCAATTTGTAGTTTTGTTAAGTTAGTTTTAGGTAAATTTAGTACATGCATCGTTTCTTTATATTCATTGCTATGATGGGTAATATGTGCTTTATTTTTATTCTGTAGCTTTTCGCTTTTACGTATGTCTGCCTATTAATCTACACCTGCCGCAGAATATTTTCTTACCTGACGTGTCCTTTCGCTAAAGGGGAGTTCGCTCTAGCATATAGCGCTTGCGTCAGTTTTATTTGCATCCAACTTGCAAATGTAAACCCGAAAACTTACGAAAGTGTAATTTGCAACGCAAATTAATTCTGTTTCGACAGAAATTACTTGCGTTACCGACAACTGCCTCGAAAGCTCCACTTGCGCGCTAGCTGTACTTTCCTGTTTAAACCTGCTGCTTGCAAGCATCTACTGCTTGTAAACAAGTGACGAGAGTGTTTGGTCATTTTAATAAGGGAGAAATTGTTTTGTTTTTGCTTTTGCCCTTTCGTATGACATCCTGAAGTTCGGCTGTTTACTTACGAGACATCTTGTTTAAACAAGGACGATCTCTTTCCTGAAAAAATTTTTGCAGTGCTTGATACACAGGGTGTTTCACAACTTATGCGACAAATTTTAACCTCATGTCCACTGTTACGAAAGAAGTTGGTTTCTAAAGAAAAAAAAATGTAATAAAAGTCCTACAGAAATTCAATAATGGATTGAAAAATAAGTATCTGTATTTTGTGTTCATCGTCGTGATATTAGAACACGCATTAATAACTTATTATAGTAAATGTTGTACCAAACAGCTGACGAAAGCAAAATACCAGGAGTTTCTTGTTTCTTAATAAAATTATTAAGCTCGTATAGTAAAGAAATGTTTGTTAAATGTGGTGTTCCACAAGGTACAATTTTGGGTCCTCTGTTATTCAATATTTATTTAAACGATATATTCAAAATTAACAGTACTGGTAAAATAGTCAGTTTTGCAGACGATACTGCTATACTCTATAAAGGTAAGGATTGGAACGACTTAAAAGATATTATCCAAAATGACTTTTGCAAAATTATTCAGTGGTTTAATAACCGAAAATTAACAATTAATTTTACTAAAACTCATTTTTTACCATTTTCATCACTATCTAATCATCTACCAAAATATAACCACCTTCGGTTTAAGGTAAATGATAAAAATATAAAAATCAATAGAGGTAATGATACAAAATATTTAGGAATTTATCTAGATCCCCACTTGAGATGGGATGTACATATTTCTCACATACTAAAGAAAATTAGATTCATAGCATATAAAATAAAATTTCTAACCGGTATATTAACT